CTCTCCACCCAGGTGTATAAATGGGTACCGGCGAATTTGATGCTGGGGGTAACCCTGCAATGGACTGGCATCCCATCCAGACTTTACCTTTACCTACCATAACAATTTGTGTATATATCTGTGGTCTTGGCAGGTCACTATGAAACAGCATGTGCTGTGTACATGTATGTATGACTCTGTGTAGATATATCTAACATGTCATCAACAATGTTGAAAGTCCTTTCTTAATATCTGTACAATAGACTGTGTGTGGAGCAAATCACCCTGACAGTGTGCTTATATGTAAAAGACATTGTTTAATTCCATCATTCAATAGGATGACGATATTCCTGCTACTGCCAGTACTTCCACCACTGATGCTCCAGTCTCGCCTCTGGAGAAAGAACAAGTGTCGTTGTCTGATCCAGTTGTAGGACTTCAACCCAAAGTTCCTAAAGATTTCCAGATTTTCATTAATCTTATCGAGTTCTGCAGGTGAGTCAGGAATTCTTTAATGTGTTGTTCTTATGACATAACTTTATTAGGGATGCTCACGCTATTTGTTTGAATGATTGCAATTTATTATACATGTAATTAGTGTTGCAATCTATGTGTGTCACATCTACATGTAAACATGGCAATCCTACCTTGTTTAAAAACTAGGATGAAACTTGTTAACTTTTGAATGGCTTACTATGTAAGTTCACTTAGTCTTATGTTTAGTTGTTTAGCTGTTTGGTTGGTTTAAAGGATTCATACATAACAGGTCAGTTTGAAACAACATGTGCTATGTGGGATGGGAGCTAGTAATTCCATTCTGGGCCTTGTATGCAACGTGACAAGACAGTTACGAGCCATCGCTCCTAGTCCAGATTATTTGAGGGAAAATCCATGCATAATATTCCTTGCTTATCATTGAGAGACTCTAGATCTGCACCATAATGCTGAGGAACAGATCACGTTTTTGGCCATTCTGAATATTGTTAAGATGCTATTCAACGTACAGTGAAGCTCAGATATAAGCGAAACAAAATACACAAGCATATGCGCATACGTGTATACAGTGTACACGCATATCCCTCATTAGTATATGAGGGATTAGTATATTGTTTCCTCTTTTCTTAACAGGCCATTGTTGTTTTCAATGACTTGACAGCTTGCCACAGAGTGAGAGAGAGTTTTCTTTATTTTGAATATGCGTATATAGTATACACATGTATGCCTTCAGACTAGACTTACATGTAGCTGAAATGAACATTGTGCAATTGGGTACTTCGCAGAAAATATAAGAGAGAGTGCTTTGCTGTTGAATCAACAATTTACTGCTTTCTTCCAAATAGAACTGGGGATAGATGCTTCAACAATCTCATCTTCAAAGAGCAAACAATTTGTGCCAAATGCAACTGAAAGATAAATCACAGTTTAAGCAAGCGATCTGCTGACATGCGCCATCACACAGAAGTTTTACTTGCAGAAAAATTGTAAACCCAATGTAAATCACATGCCATGGAAACTTTGATAAACACTCCATTCTTCAAAGAAAGAATATGTAACTGCTATAATGAATGATTTGTGCCAAATAGAAATGTAGATATCATTTCAGTTTTGACGAGAGATATAGTCAGAACTAATGAAGTCAATTGACATTTTGCAAACGACTGGCCAACACGTCCGGAAATACAGAACTTTTCCTGGAAGAAAAATTAACTAAACGTGAACGGCACGCCATAGAAACTTCAATGAATAATCCTTTCATCAAGGAAACAGTTATTTTGTTTGAATGAATAGTTTGTGTCAAACAGAGCCTGAGATATAATTTTTTGACAAGAGATCTAATTAGAGTGCTTCAGACAAGAAACATTTTGCAAGCGACTTGCCGACGCACGCCAAAACACAGAACTTTTAATTTCCTTGCAGAAAACTAAACTAAACACCAGCAACGTGCTATTGAAACTTTGATAAACAATTTTTTCATCAAGGAAAGAGTATTTCTATCGTTTGAATGAATGATTTGTGTCAAATAGAACCAGAGATATCATTTTTTTGACGAGGATCTTCAGAATGCCTCACACAATGAACATTTCACTTGGAACTTAATTGCCAACATTTGCTGAAACACAAGACATTTCCTTATAGTTTCATATTATCAAAATTAACTGAGGATTCATGTAAAGTCAAAGGTTGTTACTGGACTATTCATTTCAAAACTGTGATGACCATTTACAAAATAATTCTGTGCCCTGGAAAGTTGTTCACAGCTGTAAACTTAAAAGTAACCATTAATATTCAGTCAATGTAAACAATGTGTTTAAACAAGGAGTTCAAGCGACTGTTTCAATTTTCTTCCCAATGTTTTGGCAGCTAAAGATTAAGCAAGTCTTAATAATCAGTAGTTTGTTGGTGAGTTTGCAGAGTTGGCTTGTATGCAGAATTTACCTGTTTTTTTTTAAGAAAGCCAACAAAACCTAGGTGAACAAGGCCGTGAAGACCCAATAAACCTCCCCTTTGATGACTCGGGACACAGTTTTCTCTTAGGAGCACTTAGCACAGAACACCCCAAAAGCAAAATCACCATGGAACAAATAAGCAGATCTAAGGTTATGACAAAGATCCAGCTCACAGCAAAACCATTTCATAGATGTGATATGACCATAGTCTGAAAGGTCAACACCAGTGCAGAGGTCAATGTAATATTACAAGGAGACTACAAGAATATCTTCACCAACCCAACAGCACCATGCCTTGGCCCGACACAACTTCCAATTCTTTCAGCCTATGGGTGCCACTAGATTAAAACTGTGGGCAGTTGCCAACTCCATGTACACCACAATTGCAACGTCAAGAAGGCAACCTTCACTGTGACAGATGCTTCAAGCCCAGTAATACTTGATCGTAAGATGTGTGAAGAACTGGAGTAAAACTGCAGGAAATCATGGAAGAGTTAGCAAAGGATAACACTGGCCCTGGTCAAGATACCCTGAGAGATACTATTTACATGTATGAGGGTTGGCCAACAGTAGAAGTGAATACCCCCTACTATGTGACTTTTGGAACTCAGAGAAGATCTTACAGTTGAATATGGAATTGTACTCAAGCATGATTGCATCGTGGTCCTGCCCACCCTAAGACTGGACATCCTGAAAACCATCCACCAGGGCCACCTTGGGGCCAGGGGAATGCCTTCTCAGAGTCTGATCCTCTGTTCTTTTTTTCTAGGAATCACAAATCACATCTTGTGCTTGTATAGCTAAGTGCATGACCACTTTAAATAAGATGTACAGTTTTACATTACCCTATTTGTCAGTCAATGTGAAGCTTTCCAGAAACAACAGAAGAGAACCCAAAAGGAACCATTGCTACAACCAGAGCTACCATGTAGATCATGGGAAAGACTGAGCTCTCACTTATTTGAATACATAGGTCAACATTATCTGTTGCTATCTGACCATTATAGCACGTTCCCATCATTAGGAAGCTAACTGGCACCAGTTTCTTTGCCATAATAAATCACATGAAAAACATTATTGCCGAACATAGAATCCCCTTCCAACTCCTAACAGACAATGGACCACAGTACATTTGTCAAGGGTTTCACTAGTTCACGGAGTCATACAGTATGGTATCGAACATACCACAAGCTCCCCACTATATCCCCAGTCGAATGGATTTGAAGAGCCCATGGTGCAAACTGTAGAAAATGCACTAGACAAGTGCGACGAGGAAGGAGAAGATCCATACCTTGGAATACTGTTGGACAGAACAACACTGGTTGACCAACAATTAGAGTCACCCGCAGAGTTTACTCAACAACAGAAAGTTCTGAACCACCTTACCAACTGCACAAAGAGCACTCCTCACTGGTGTTGCCAGAAATAAAGTCAAAGAGTGCCTTTATCAGCAACAGAAACAACAGGCAGAGTACTACAACTGGTCTGCAGGACCACCACTACCACTGCTACATGACATGGGGGTCAACATGTCTGTCTGACTCTAGCATCTGTATGATCCATGTAACAAGACATGGCAGCCAGGAACAGTCCAGCTACAGACTGGGGGCTGGGTACCTTTGCACAAGAACTCAACTTAAACCTAATACCGTATTGAGCGACCATTCAAGTACACAAGGGCTTCCAGTGACCACCCTACACCTAGTGGCCAAGAGAAGGGACAATGTGGACAACCAGTGGAACTGACTGAAGATGTGGCTGTCACAATGTGCTTGCCAATGCATGTTGTGAGACCCCCAGAGCCCACAACGACGGTTGTAACACCAAACATTAAACCTAGTATGTAAACATTCATTGTGAACAGTGTAACTTAATTTGTTATGCCACAAGGCATTCTTGTTTGGTGTTGTTATGCCATCTGCCTTATTGGATTTGCCAGTTGAATTTACCTACCAGTTGATAAATGTAAAGCACATTGAGCCTACTCTAGGGCATCCTGTATAGTTGCAGACATATTACACACCACTAGGAAGTTAGGAATGATTAAAGGGCTTGTCACAAGTAAGGATGGTGAAGGACAAGCAGCTGCAGTCCAAACAGCAACAGTAAAGTTGCTGAACCGAGTACTAAACTTTCTTTTTCTTTTTTAAGAATTCTCTACATTAAGCAATAAATCAGCCAAACCCAAGGCAACTGTTGTGGATGACCCAAACAGGCAGAAAAGAGGACAAGAACTTGTTAAAAGATGCTAAATTCACAGAGTGACGATGAAAGAAAGAAAAACACTGAACATGTGGCTCTTTGTGGCTCTTTGTTTGACTTGCTGTTAAATAGACTTCAGAGATGTGACAAACACTATACGCATGAAATGTTTAAGCCAGACAGAAAGTGTAAATACAATTGTGGTACAACTAAAGTAAAATACATAATGTAAATGAAATTTTTAATGAAATTTACTGAGATTCCTGCATCCAATGCTGTTTTCAGCAGCATGAAAAATTAACTTAGAGTGCCTCAAAATGGTGCTATTCCCGGGATTGATCTAGTAAAGGTATACAGTTGCTATGGCATTTGTAAATAATGCTAGCCTCTCCAGCTTTCAGCTTGTTTAATTATATTCAACTTGTTGATTTCAAGGTGTGTTCTTCCAACATACTCTGTGACATTATTTGAGCAGTGGATATACATATTTGGCAGAGACATAATTGTCATGTCTACAAGGTGGGTTAAGCTCCAGCATTCTTTTAAAACTGTAGTTATGCCAAATCTTTAGATGTGCTGTGTACTTTTTATAAAAAGCTGACTTTTGTCTTTATTTGTCTGCAAGATTGAAGATGCAGAATGAATAATTTATTTAGTTTTGCATTCATGCTTATGTTGTTGAATGGATATTGTACTTTGATGTGTTTGGTGGTAATTAGAAAACAGAATGTGAATTTGGCCAGCTACTCTTTGTTGGTTCTGCAAGTTGTTATAAAATACCAACTTATGATCATCAGTAAAGAAAACATCAGACCATTATACCTGACTGCCTGTCCCCTCACCTGCATACCTTCTTTCTTTATTGACTTCTTTCAAAGAGGCTTTCAGATGTTAAAATAAATAAATAAAAAAATAAATAAACGAATGAATAAACAAACAAACCAATGAGAAAACAAAGAGACAAATAATTACACAGAGAAGACATACAGTATTGGGCAAAAGTAATCCAACTGAAGTTCGCTGAATTTTGAGCATTCTACCAAGATGTAGTCAATATTTTGTTGTGGGATTACAGGTATGCAATACATTGCATAATCCCATATAGCCGGCAACTTTCTTGAATGTTTGATTCACGTCACATGACGTCACGTAACAGAGCTTTGGGAGCATGAATATTCTGACAGGTAGACCGGGTACTGGTAATTTTGAGTGATTGTTTTTGAGAGAAGGCAGCCATTGCCATAGGGAACCCACACGCTTATTTGTGAGTTGCATAATTTTATGCTCATATTATGTTATCTAAAAACAGCAATAAAAGAGTAGAATAAACTTGCCTGTTGTCTTCCTGTTAGTTTTCATTCTGCGCCACGATTGTGTGATGCAATATACTAATGTCTTTCCGTTGATCTCCGTTTAAAATGTGGTTGTCGTGGCATCGCTTTGATCATTACTACAATATCGCTGCCTTTATGTGGCTATCATGTTTCACCATTGTCTGTCGCACGGTTCTCGTGTTTCGTGTCTCACATTTCACCGTTGCTTATTAATTCGTGTTTTGTGTATCGCATTTCACCGTTGCTTATTAATTTATTCACAGTTTGAATGTAACTGAACCGCGTGACATCACCCAGACAATGGTGAAATGCGATAGCCACATAAGGGCAGGCATACTGTAGTAACAATCGATTGAGAGCAACGTCGCAACAACCATATTTTAAACAGAGATCAACGGAAAGTACACTAGTTGTAACACTTACATGTTAATTTCATCAGCCCACCATTGTTTATATAATGCTGTGAATAATTTAAGTGAAAAGAGTTCATGGTACACTGTAACTGTATTTTTTGTTTCATATAGTACAGGTCTAACTGAACTGTTGCTAGTTACCATTTGGGACTGCAGAAAAAGAAATTGAAGGCTAAATTATACTGATGAAACACGGCAAATGCATTTGTAGAACAAGACAAATACAAAGTTAAGGTTATAGAATACACGTTCATCTTTCGTGACAGTGAATAGTTTTATTTTGAGCACCATTCTCGAATAGTTCAACAAACCGTTCAGTGCAATTTGTAGATTGTTTACATTCAAAAAAACCATTTTCACAATTAATAACATTTCAAATAAACCAAAACTCAAAGAAAAAAATTTTCTAGCAAGTCTGAATTGCAATGAAACAGTCAATAGATAAAGTAGTCACTAGTGCCCTGGAAAGGCCCTGTTGCATGACAACCTCATGGGTTGTTGAGAATGCACAATGAAGCTAGATATTAAAATAGCCAGTGGCCTTCTGTACAACAAAGAGACTACTTCATACATGTAAGTAACTAAGCTGGCTAATAAGTGTTGCAAGTTACCTGTGACTGGTTGTCTAATGATATTAAGTTGACAATTTTAATACAAAACCAATACACACACAAAACCAACTGGTTCCTATTTATTTCTAGCTATTTCTAGTGTGAGCTGTAAAAGTTTCGCACTTAGATTTCTTGATCACAGCATCTTGTGCTCGCATTTTTGAATCACAGCATCTCAGGCTCAGAAAATAATGGTCGGAAAATGATGGTCAACTCTCAGATTTTAGATGAGGGTCTTGGCAGTTTGATGGGTCTCGGATTTTACCATTCTATACCCCTATTCTAAGCCATCAAAGGCTTTTTGAAAATCAAGAAATGCTAAATATATATTTCCTCAATATTTTGTTCAGCAGTGAAGCTTAATACGGTACATCAGATATTTGCCTAATGTTGTATGCTAAAATTTATGTACCCAGTATGCCCTTTGGTAATGATTTAGGGAGAACCTTTTTCATCCTTTTGCAAGAGCTTTTGTTGTGATCTTATAGTCCACATTAAAAGGTTAGAAATGGAATTCCAAACACTCCTAGATTGTGCCTCTTTACACTCAAACAAAATAGCATAAATGGTGACTAACATGTGCTATTAATGTGCAATAATTTTGTCCTACATGTATTTGCAGTTTTGTTGGTCTGGAACAATACATTTCTTTACCTTGCATCCTTTCACTCATGTACATCCCAGAATAAATCAAAATCAACAGCAATATACCTGTACACATCAATTTCTGATAAGTAGTAGTTTTGTATAATGGAAGTCTGCATTGTTGCTTTGTAGGTTTCCAGTTGTCAGTGGATTCTATAAATTGTTGGAAGTTTGCATGAAAATCTGCGACAAGCTGTTTTTCTTCAAGGTAATAGTGGTTCCTCATATTTTTCAATATCATGGACACTTATTCCACTTTGCTTTACATTGCGTTTGTGGTCAAAGTGTGTAGCTTAATGCGTATTTAATTGCACATGAAGCTTTTGATAATTGTAGGGATAAAAATACACATGGGATCACATGAGAATTCAAAATTTGTGAATGTAAATTTTTTGACTCATGTAGATATTAATGCCATGCATGACCTCACATGGGAAATCGTATGCTAATGTTTGCCATTAAATGGGCAAAACTTATGGCAATCAAATGGGTAGTTACTGCTTTTGCAGAACATTCCAATGGTTTGGTAACTGCATATGACAGGTAAGCCTTCTTAAGGTGGCTCAAAACAGTTTCAAACACTTTCCAAGACTTAGATTTTGATGGGTCATATAACCACTCTTTATCAACTGATGCAGCAAAAACTGCCCAGTCACTGGTGAACACGTTGCTATCAATGATTAAGCAGTTTTTTTGATACGATGATTGTAGCATCAAGCAAATAAAGAGTGGTTATAACGACCCATCAAAATTTAAGTGCTGGAAAATGTTTTGAGCCACCGTAATGATTTGGTCAATGATTTTTGGTTGGCCGAATTCGTCAATAATTTATGAAAAACTCTTAACACAGATCAAGCTGTTAAAATCACTAAATGCCTTTTGTTTGAACATTTAACATTGAACATTTTTGAACATTTGCGGCCTTATGTACAACAGAATGCGAAGAAGATAGGTGAGGAGGTTTGAACATTTAAGAGCAGCTTTTTCTATATCTGAATATCAACTAGTCCTGGAAGTAGTAATGGAATTTCTTCAAAGTCGTGCAGACTGAAGCCCTATGGGCACTGGTTACAAAAATATCTGGCCAAACGAGGGTCCCTAGCACTTTTTGTGGGTCACAATAATTATCTTTACAGCCCTCCAAAAAATTTCTTCAGCCATTTATCAAAAAATGTGCCATGTCTATCACCCATTGTCATTGTATCAGCCTAACAATATACCTATTCACTTGAATACACAACACAAGTTTCTTCAAGCAAGAAATCAATTCAAAATGGCAGATGCTTATGCAAGTGTCCTGGATGTGCAATTGTCACCAGTCTCTCCAACTCTGCCAAACTCAAGTGGCAACCATGATTTTCTGAAATTTGCGAACGCAATTTGCTCAACTTTTTCTTCGTTTCTCAAACAACAGAACGTAACTGACTTGTCAAGGCTAATGCAGTAAGTTCTCCCTGTGGGCTCTTGCATCCTGGGATGCATAAAAGTTTTGAAAATGCATTTTTGAGTATTTTTTTGCATAAAAATGCACAATTTCTGCTTTAATGCGATCCCTGCCTGACTCTCTCTGGAGTCTGCCATTGGTTGGAGTGTCCAATGACTATTGTTAGAGTGACAATATGGTCAACGCAAGACTTATCTTTCCTGAACCCTGCTGATTACATTGCAGTTGTTTGTCCAACCTTTCAAGGGTGATGCAGCAGAATTCCTTGTTGGGAATAGAAAGGAGCATGATTCCACCCCAGATATTACAAAATCCTAGATCCCCCTTTTTGGATGTAACATTCCTGTTGTGGTGTAAGGGTTAAACTTAAGACCAAGTTTACCAGAGGACCAGGCAGGGGTGATACAAGCCATCTCCCCTTTTTGGATGAAACTTTGCCAGATTGAAGGTACTACCCAACAACTCTAAAAGACAAAGTGGGCCAGTTTTGTGATTTTCCCTTAGGAGTTAGACCACCCCCCCCCCTGNCAGGCCAAGGGTGACTCTAAACTGTGGTGAAATTAGTTTTGATTTAGAAAGTTGGACTATTTGAGTCAGAATTTGAGCTAATTTGCCTCATAGCTAAATGTTGCATGAGATGGGTAGGAAATGACATTCCTTGATTGGCACCTGTCACTTCAAATGACTTGAAATTCCTGGTGTGAACTTCAACAGCATTGAAGAACTCGTTCTTGTCTTTCCTGGCATTCTTCCTCACATCTTTATTCAATTTTTAATAGCTTTTTAGATCTCTTTGTGGTCCACTGTTTACACCCATTAGTCTAATCCTTAAGACATCTCCCCTTTGCGTGATCAAAGACCAGTTTTTAACTTGGAAAATATTATTTTCCAAGGTGTAGGTGTGTGTGGAGTGATTTCACTCCATTACTCTTTCACTCCTTTACTTTATCACTTCTTGTTAGACATTACATGGGGGGACTCCCATGTGAAAAGGTCGGGGATGCTTGGTGGAGAATTTAAATTAAAGCCCCAAAGGAGACCAATCTGAGTGTGGCTTGAGCTTTAAAAGATTCTTAAAAGATAGCACTTAGAAGGGAAGAGGCTCGATGACCAGCCTCTGTTCAGGAAAGGAGCCAGCGCTAGTAGACCAGATTCAAGAGATCTTTGGAAATCAAGCCTAAGATCAGAAATATGAGTGGTATTTTAAAATATGTTTTCTTCTAATGCACCCAAAAAGATACTTTGACAGCTAAAAATAATGGCATTTTGTCCTGAACACCCTAAGAAAGACGAATTAAAACTTTGAATTTTATACAGGACCCATGTTGATAGCAGTTTTTATAACTGAAATGGTCATCCTGCATAAACATGTTTATATAGATATTTATTTATTTATTATTACCCCTAACCGAGACGACCAGCATCTCTGATCTTTTCATATGGAAGTCCTCCTTGGGTTTCAAACATTCTTTTGACAGTCGCTTGCACCATGTCAAGTTGGTTATATTTGAGAGGTAGAAGGAGAAACAATTTTTTGACTGTATGGAAAAGAATTGTGATTCTTTCTTAGTGATTTGATTGTAAGGGGAAGTCTTCATGTTTTTTTTCACAAACCTATGTGATACTAGCAGCAAGCATACTGTGAGTTCAAAAGCAATCAAGATCGAATGATTAAAAGTTCCAGACAATTTTTAAACACAAGAAATGGAAAGAGAAATATGGCCTTTTGGTAAATGGTTTCTTGACATAAACATGTGCGTTTAAAAAAAGAATGAAAAAGAAAAGAAGAAAGAAGTTTTGCTTCCTATCAGATTCGAACTTATATTCATTCCCGCTTTCGGGGCTAATTACTAACCCACTGTGCCACTTGTACAGTCCACTAGTTAGAGAGCGAAAATGTTAACAATATACACATGTATGCGCTGAAATGCTGCGTATTTTACACAGCAGGCTCAAGTAAGTTGCGAATCAAAGTCAATATAGTTAATATAGCCATGATTAATATTTTAAGAAACGAACTGGAAAATTGAGGAAAGACCAAATTGTATGTTTCACTTATAATTTTTCGGTACAGTAACTAAATCAATTTGGAGATGGCAAGATGATATGAACAAATTGGTTGATGAAAAGAAGAAAGAGACATAACACAGGACTGGGAGTTCTGCATGCAATGATATTGCCTTGGAAAGGTAAACAAGAAAGAAAAGAAAAAAGAAAACATTACAACACAGGGTATTCGTCTTTGGTCACCCAACCAAGTACTAATCCCTCTGAACAGGGCTTAACTTTGTTGATCAGAGGAAGTGTGGTGTTGTCCTTGTGGTATTGCCCGATTCCATGCTGAATACTGTAGTTTATTTCTAAGATCACAGATTTTGAAGCCCACACTCGAAACTGACCCCAGAACCTACGATCGTAAGTACCTAACATACTGAAGATCGGTTTTAGATCTCATCAAAGATATAAATTATGTGCAACTTTCTGTGGATGGAGTGTGGTCAAACTTTACCACACAGGGATAAAGATGGTCTACACCAAGATGAAGAAGCCATCAGAAAGGTAATGCAAGGGGAGGAAATCACTTGTACATTGTGAATATTGGTGGGGAAAATGAAGAACAAAAAAATAAAGAAAAGTGGAAAGAAAAGTTAAATGAGAACCTGAAATAAAGGTATTTTATTACTTGGTCCTGCATTCAGTAAGCAGTAGCTTTGGTTATCGGAGAAGAAACAGTGCTTTCCTTGTGGTAAGGAAAGTACTGTTCCTTCTCGGACAAGAATTTGTGGGGTCATGTTTCCTTCTGTATTCAATTACAGTTGCATTTTGCACTATTTTGTAACATTACCAGTGGGCTGTGACTTCATTTTGTGCCTCTCTATCTCAATATATGTGCATGAAGGGAACAGTTAGTTAGCTCGATAATGATATATGACTTAGCTTCGGATTAAAAACTCAGTTTGGTGGCGTCACAGTTTCCACTGTTTACAGACGATTCATTTTCCAAGTTGAGTGGCTCACAGCCACCTTTATTTGGACAGCCATTCCTTTCCATCACTTGCCCTTCCACCTACAGTAAGACCACATTGCATGATTCTTGCCAAGTCTTTATCAGTCCTGCCCAGTAATTGCCAAGGTGATTTTTCACAAATTCAAGGCCGGGCAGAGTACATGTTGTTTACTGTAGAGTTGAACATCTTCAATGTCTCATTGCACTTCAGAGTAAGGATGTTATGTCTAAGGTATGGTTTGGATAAAGAGTCATAGCTGGCCCTAATTTTCACCTTAAACATGCCCAGTAGTGATCAGAGGCAGTGCCTGCCCCTCCTTTTACAGCTCTCACATCCAGCAAAGGTGTAATCCAATTCCTGGCATTTGTCTTGATTTGAAGTTGTTTCATCGGAGAGGTCTATATAGCTTTTTGAACATCTCTGTGGGGAACAATGGGTCCCTCATTATGACTAACTCACTGAAAATACAAAATCTGTGAATGGCTTTCTGTTCTCACTCATGCAGCCCAATCCATGGTGCCTCAACACCCTCCTTGTCAGTGTTAATTGTAAGGACTTATGTTTAAGACACCCATAAGAATTTTGATGTCTTGTATAGGTATATGGTTTTAAACACCTTGGAGACGTCTGTAAAATTCTTTTTTTTGCTGTGCCACTGGTCTTGTGTTAATTAAAACTGAAATTCCCAGTTTTTGTCTTAACCAATGCAAGGATCATCTATTCCGAACAATCTACTGAGAAAAGTTAGGACAATATAGACATCATGTATGTTCCGAGAAGGACCCTCCGTATTACTTTAAAATGTTGTTAATGGGGATATTTGGATTTTGAAAGAAAGAGACTGGTGTTTCTTTTGAAGAACACTGCTCTCATATTTCTTGAGATAGTCTTCATTTAGTATTTCACTGTTTTGGTGGAACAATTGTGGCATCATCACTTTCCTCATTGGCATAATACAAAAATGTGATAAGATATTCCAAAAAAGGAAAAAGCCTTGCAAATAAGCAGCAATCAATTTTTTTTACTTCAGAGGCACTTTGAAGTAAGCATTTCTGTAATAAGGACATTAAAATGTTTCTGTACATCCTTAACTGTGCCTGCAATTAATTTCATAATTTCACCATGCCTTGCTTTGAAAATGCACTTAGCGAAGCATTGTAACCAAGTAAAGGGAAGGTTTCAAATGAATTGTTAGTTCTGCTTGCAGTTTATGATTCTGGTAAATGTGGTTGATGACCTGTGCCATCTTTTCAGTGTATGAATTATCTCCAGTAAATTCTTATCGTACATGTAGTGTTCATTGACAGAGAGACGCTCTCTACCAATAGTCCCTGTCTGAGGAACTTACCCGGATGGATAGCAATACTCATCCGTAAAAATTTTTCTGTAAACAAGCTGGCTTATAGAAAAAAGGTTGAAAGATGCAATTTGTTGTAATGAGTACATTTTGATCTAGATAATAAAGTGATTCAATATGAGTTTTGAACTGAAGGATGGAAGAAAATTCAGCAGTGAATAATAAAGACAATAGGGTGTTCATATCTCCACACTATCGGTCTGATAGTTGGCCCTTAGAAATTTGATGTTCTTCAAACTAGCGAAATTATTTGTTTTGAGAACATCAAATTTCTGTGGAGCAACTATCAGCCGATAGTTTCACAACAGAGACACTCTATGGACTTACGGACATATATGGACAAATAATTAATCAGTCTAGGAGGTTTAACAATATCCAATGTTTTCAACCATACAAATCCTACCATCTTGCAGCTAAACAGGCCCGTTCAAATGTGGTTGCTAAATGATTGCTGAGGCTATTACTTTTTAGTATCACCCAACTTGTGGACTAATGCAAATCATGCATTTTGATTGGCTACGCTACTAGGGGACTATTAGTAATAGTCATTGAGTAGCGAAATTGGCGCCATCGAGCCTGACACTTTCTTTCGTTTTATTCCCAAATAAATATTTCTTCAACTTGCATTTGCTAACTTTATTATTACCTTTTCTGTCCAACTAGTTGGGTGATACTAAAACAATTAGACCCATAGCCCTTGCGGGCTACGGGTCTAAGACAATATCTGGCAGAGAAAGTGCTGTTTTAGACATTTATTTGCATTACTGTGAGACTAACAGACCAATTTACAGAACTGTAAGTGTTTTCTGCCCATATTATCTTTCTGCAAGTTTGTGAATCCCATTTTTTGGATTTCTGACCACTCTGCATCCATCACCCATAATCTAACTGTGGTGGAAGGTTTATTGAAAAAATGTAAATATAAGAAAATCTTAAATCTTCTTGATGATCTTCATTGTGTTATTATTAAGACATGAATTTATTGCATTAGAATGTAAAGGTGGAAAGTCCAGACCTTAACAGTGAAGACTTAGACATGGAAATTGTAGATTCCTCTGACTGTATGACATGCTTTGTGCTCTTTCACAAGTTCACAAAAGAGGTATGTTGCATGTTGCATTAAAAGAGGTCACCAAGGAGTTTAATCATCAGGGAATTAACCACTAAAAATTAATGTGTTATTTTCCATAGTGTTTACCCTCTACATCCTTGCTTTACCCTTCTCTTCTGCCAGTCCAACGCTTGGCCTTAAGGATGGGTTCTTATTAATTTTGTTACCACTTGTTCTATATCCTTGTTTTTGCTTTTGAAGTTGCCTACATAAAAGCTGTTGTGTATGGCCATTATGACTGTGAATGGCCATTAGACAAGTTAATATCTTCCTCAGTAACGGTTTGGAGCTTAACATTCTCAACAGAGAATACGTGACCACCACTTACATCATACCTTTGAATGACATTTGGTCATTAAAATATTATTTTGATAGTGTGTCCCTTTGAGCTCATTGACCAATTGCAACAATCATGCAGTACCATTGTTTTTTACAAGATGACACGTAACACATTACCTGCTCCAGTTTGTATCTTGAATCATAAGACATTTCCCATTCATGAGTTACAACTACTGAGCCCAAGCCTTTTTTTCAAAACACAGGCCTTTTCACAGCAAGGTGCTGATCAAAATCTGATTACTTCATTATATTTGTTTAACTGGTACTGTTTGTTATGTATGGTAGCCTAGGTAGCCTCGGTACTAGGGTGCATGCTAGCCTTGTTATATATATAAGGAAGAATGACTTTCAAAATAAACAGTTATTTTGTTCTTGTGGTATGTTACTGTCTACTTGTTGAAACATGGTGTCAGAAGTGATCCTATGGACCCAATAAGAATACCTACATTTACCACAGAAGGATTAGCGGAAGAGGGACAGCCGAGTGGCAGCAGAGAAGATAGAATAACTCAGCTAAAACCACCAGCGCCACTTGATTTCAAAGCTATAAATTTGGCTGACAGTTGGAAGAGATGGTGATAAGAAGTAGAATTGTACATGGATTTAGCAATGTGTGGCAGAGAGGAGTCAACGAAGGTGAAGCTGTTTTTGTATTTAGTTGGGAGTCATGGACAAGAAATTTACAGTACGATGACATTCGACGCACCTGGACACGAACAAAAATTTGAAGCAGGTTATGGATGCATTTGACAAGCACTGTAATCTGAAGAAAAACGAAACTGTTGAGAGGTACAAGTTCTTTTTGCGTTTTCAAAATCCAGGCGAATCACTAGAAAAGTTTATTACAGATCTGAAGCTTTTAGCGACCACTTGTAACTTTGGTGACCTCAAAGATTCACTGGTGAGAGACCAGATAATCTGCATTCACAACAAGCAGCTCCGTGAAGACCTCCTCAAGGATCCATGTCTTGATCTGCAATGATGCCTTGATGCCTGTAGAGCAGCTGAATTATCCAAAGCATGAAGTAAAACCTTGGAAGGCAAAAATGTAAATTTGTTGAGAGATCAAATGAAGCGTGGTAAAGCATCTGATGACAAAAGGCGTGAGAAGGTGGATAAAAGGCGAGAAAGTGTCGAAAGGTGGAAAAGGCGGAGAATGACAGGCGTGAAAATGAAAGTCCTATGCACTACGCGTATCGTAAGGAAACAAAGAGATGTAAATATTGTGGTCGAAAACATTGAATCGGAAGTGAAATTGTCCTGCGTTTGGCAAGAGATGCTCGGCCTCTGGAATTATGAATCATTTTGTTCTCATTGTATGGCTAAGGCAAATGTAAACGTGGTTGAGAGAGGGAGCGGAAGCGCTGATGAATACTGCCACACACTCGAGTCATTGGGTGAAAGTGAAATACTCCATGTCCATTCTGCAAGTGATCATGAATATGCGAGAAAGCTGTTTGTTACAATAAGCCTTGGAAATTCGATGGTGAAGTTTCAGTTGGATAGTGGAGCAACTTGTAACTTGCTACGCACAAAGTACCTTGAGGATGGGAACGAACTAACACTGACCAGGAAATGGCTCACAATGTACAACGATACAATGATAAAGCCTTTGGGTATGTGCACGATGGAAGTACTCAACCCGAAAAACTCCAGGTCTTATCATGTGGAGTTCGTAGTTGTTGACAGTGATAGGGCCATACTGATCCTGGGAAACCAAACCATGCAGCAGATGAACCTGATTAGGGTGCAACAACACAATGTGATGTCAGTCAACACCAGTCAAGCTTGCTTCACTGCTGAACAACTCTTAAAGGATTATCCCGATGTCTTCAAAGGTACTGGAAAATTGGAGGGTCAGTACAAGCTTGAAGTTGAAGATGGTGCTACGCCAGTGGTTCATTAACCAAGGAGAGTTCCTGTAGTGCTCAAGGGTAAACTGAAGGAAGAACTGGAGTGTCTTCAGAGCCCTGGTATCATAGAGCAAGTCACTGAGCCTACACCATGGGTTTCAAGTCTTGTAACTGTACAGATCGAGTGTGCATTGACCCTAAAGACCCGAATCAAGCGTTAAGGAGAAGCCACTACCCGACCCTGACCATAGACAAGGTACTTCCAGAGCTTTCAAGGGCAAAAGTGTTCTCAACAGTAGATGCAAAGAATGGATTCTGGCATGTTGAACTTGACGATGACAGCTCATGCCTGACAACTTTCAATTCACCCTGTAGACAATTTCGTTGGCGTCGCCTTCCCTTCGGGCTTTGCACAGCTCCAGAGGAGTTTCAGCGGAGACTGAACCTCACCCTAGAGGGCTTAAAGGGCATCTGCACCATTCACGATAACATCCNGTGACCCCGTCACTCTCCAGGGACAGTCTGGGTCAAGTGGCCAGCCAATTGCAGTGTCTGAGTACCCAAACGACATGCTGAGGGTGAGTTGTAAAGAGGCCACAGTACTTGAAGGACTTCCACACGGAGACATGGTGGGAGCAAGCCAGAAATAGAGAACTCGGATTGACAATTCGAGATACGTTATGTGGTCTGTGACTGGAACAGTTTTCTTTTGTCTGTTTTTTTTGTTTTTTTTTTTAGAAGGAAAAGGATGTTATGTATGGTAGCCTAGGTAGCCTCGGTACTAGGGTGAACGCTAGCCTTGTTATGATGTATATATAAGGAAGAATGACTTTCAAAATAAACGGTTATTTTGTTCTCGTGGTACGTTGCTGTCCACTCGTTGAAACACTGTTCTGAGAACAAATCCAAGCTGCCTCAAGATTTCATCACTGTTTCTTGAGCAACCTCCTCATTTTGTGACAATAGTTAGTGTGCTCCCATCATTGATGCTTGCATAATATTGGAGAAAAAAAAGAACAAACGTACAACTTAGTTTTGGTTTCTTTTTTTTCAGGTCCTTATTAGAATGCAACAGTATAAAGATGATCTGTTAGCTTCCTGTTTAAGACTTGTTCTATCACTTCCTCTTGAAGTAGTCGTTCTGGATATTGCCTCCTTGGTACCTGCATTAAAGGTGCGCAATAGTAACAAAGACATGTAGTGTGTAAATATGAACATTGAACCATGAAAAATTCTAAGTACCCCACAGGATTCAAACCTGTTAGCTCCCAGATACCAGTTGCATGGGCTTACTACCAAGTTATAGATAAACTCACGGTGCATAAGCTGGGCCATTTTTTAGGTCATCTTATGTGAAATTGTCATCTATGAGATAATAATGAAAGGTGATAAAGATTAATATTGAATAATTACAAAATGATATTTAAAGACTTGTGATTTAAAGACACAGAGTTCAGGTTACATTGATTATTCTCTGGCAAGAATAGCTTTTCATTGAATAATTTTTACATATTTGACTGCAATTTGTGCAATTCTCAAATTTACCCTAGATAAGATGTTCCCCCTAACAACATAGTGATTTCATTTCTAGTGCCATTTTCAATTGAGTACCAAAGTAATCCTATGGCAATCCATGGATAAATCAACAATCTGAACACATACATGTAGCTGACTGGAAGCACAGGGAAAAGTCAATTGGGTAGCATAGTAATGGAAAACCAAAGCAAATACACATTACCTTTGACACTTGAGGGAAAACTGCTCCATATATCTTTCGGTTTTTCTCATCCCTACTGTTGTTTTGAATGGTTATGTTCAGAGAAGGTTAACGCCCCAGTAGGTTGACAATATCTAACCTTGTCACTTTATGCAAGGTAACGTAATTTAGGGTCTGTCTTCAGATGGTAAACAATTAGGACTTCCAAATGATCTTATGTGTAAGTGGAAAATTTATGCGGTCACAACAACATTTAGCAGAATGATAACATGCTTAGATCTTAGATAAGAATTCAGGAGAACTACTTTCTGACTGGATATTGAATTCAAACAGTAAGAAAGATGACTGGTACAAATATTAGCAAATGCAAGGAATCATTGGGAAAAAACCTTCAATTTATGGACAGAGTTATTAAAATAAACAAACAATGATGATTAATACATAATTTCTTTAAATTGTTCTGATCAGCTTACCTTTAAACTTGGCCTAAGCTTTACTCCTCTGGCTCAAGCTGGACTAGATGCCTTACAGAGGTGGACCGCTTCTCTTCCTCCTCATGTTTTGAAGCCACATCTACCTGAAATTCTTCCTTGTTTGGATGGCTTCCTTAAGACACCAGCTGAGTACAGTAAGGGCGTTAAAAAGTTCTTGTTTATTCACTTGAAAGATTTTTTTTCTGTTTTTCCATTTTGAAATGTTTCTGATATTCAATGCAAAACCCTTATCCTTGCATGTGTATTTAACAACCATGTACTGAACATACAGTAGAAGTTAAAATCAACAATAATAGGGTTTCGATATTACCTGCAAGCAGCTGCACAATGCAATATATACATGTAGCAATAAAGGTCATCTGCAGACAAAATTTTAATCTCCCAGTTACTACTTGAAAAATATGGGCAGTTAGCAGAGCTGAGAAAATCGCACATTGAAGCTTTGAAAGGTTAGAGGATTAGAATTAAGGAAAGCTACAGGCCTCGATGGCACACCATCTCATCTATTATGGTAGCTATATAGATGGCTTCTCCATTAAGATATCATGGTAGGTGGATTTTTAAGATAAGTGTGAAAAAATCTTTTTTTGCTGTTTGAATTGAGAAGACTGAGGTAAATATTTTGCAAAAGGAATGGGGAAAAAAGCTTTTTTACTTTTTAAGATAAAGAGAAAAACTGTTTTTGAGTCTCATTAACCCCTTACGGCGTGTTGACACCTCCAATTAAAATTCACCACCAGTTGTCACATGTAATGTGCATTGCAGAGTAATATTTCTTTTGTGCATGCGAACTGTTTTCGATCTGGTTGTTTCATCGCAAGTTAGCTTTCGTTCTTGTCAAATTTACTTTATGTTAGGAAGAAAATGCAAAAAAACTGCTTACCCATTTTCATCTTCATAGAAGTTGAAGAGGCAAAAATGTGGTGGGACCCACAGGTCAAACAACATCTTCAGCTCTGAGCGACCGTGGGTCGCACTGTAACCAAGAAGAATGGTTGAAGGAACTCGAGGACGCTAGTCCCGCCAATGAAGCTGAGGGACCAAATAAAACAAGTGCTAGTCGCATGAAATTGCTGGAGAACAGACAGGATTCCAAAACTTCCACAAGGAGAGAGGAGTCATGTGCAGATGTAGATGTAGATGATGTAGACCTCAAGATTTCCTCTTTTTGGCTTCACAAGGCATGGTTTCAAAAAATGTCTGGAGAACAAAGAAGCCTAGACTTGAGCAACATAATACCAATGCCACTGACGAAATCTGCTGAGTAAAAGAAATCACAGCAGTTTAAATACAAACCTGTATAAAGCTCTTGATAGTTTGTTGCTTCTCATACAATTTCACTGCGATGGGTTTCCGCACCAGAATTGTAGACATCTGTTTATTTCAAGTAGTCATAATCCATTGTTGTGATAAACTGACCCATGCTGACATCAGTGCAGAGGGGATTTTTACACCTAATCATACCAATCTCATAAAAGGTTTTTCGTCTTTTTCTTGATAAAATAAAACTGCATATAAGGATGAACATTTTTAGTTCGTTTACATGCGTCTTCCGACGGAATTGGCTGAACATTCGTAGGTATGTTCCAGGATACCTCCTTAAAAAAGGATGTCGGGCTTAGTTTAATTTTGCTTCCATTTCAAAGTTATGGCCTCTATAGTAGAGGGAAACATCCGCATTGAAAATATCAAACTTTAGAAGGGTGTAGAAAAAAACCAAACCACATCTGGAAAATCACCAACACCCTTTTTGAGGGTGATATGAGAGAAAACATTTCCGATGTTAATTGCGCCGCTGCGATAATTCCCGCACAGAAGTGAACCAGTTTAAGCAAAACAGGGTTTCTGGGTATTTCTTTTTATATCACAGCCTGTGACAATAGCTTTTTAGAAAATTTCAGACATATGATTGTATTCTATAACAGTATTAAGCTTGCAGAAAATGTATAGGTTGATGGGGTTTTCTTTCAAAGCACCAGTGTAAGAGCATGATTTCCAAACACTGTCAATCCACCTACCATGATACCTTAATAGCTAATCTTCAAATGACTACAAGTACAAGGCCAGAGCTAGTCCATGAGACAAGTATGAGAGAGAGGCTGTCCATTCTGCAACAGAAACAGGGGACCTATCGAATTGCCACTGCTAGCAAAATGGGTCATCATAGAGTGAATGGCACAAAAAGGAAGGTGGTCAACACAAATGTGGATGAAGTAGCCTTTCCTTAAAGGATCGGTCTTCGAGCCCTTTATCTTTAAGTGTATGCAGGAAGGGGATGATGGGAAGGCCCCTGCAATGTCGTGAACACCTAGATGGAGTGATGGAGAAAAATCAGAGGCATGCCGAAAACCAAAGTACCTAATTGAACAGGCAATCCAGAACATGAGGTGATCCAGTAGGTGAAGATCCAAAGACTGCCAAATCATCAACACCAGGTCATTGACAATAGGTAAACAGGTTGAAGAGGGGGAGCCCTGACAGCACTCAATACCACAGACAACCTGGTGCAGGCAAAGACAGTTGGGAAGAGGGTCTTGAAACCCCTGCTCAATGTGAAGTGCTCTGACCTTGGACAACTAGATTTAATGGACGAATGCCAAATTTTCCCAGCCGGAAAGGTGGCAAGGAGGCACAGCATCTGTTGGTTGGTTGGGAGGGGAGAACTTGAGGGATGTAACTTTACTAAGCTGATGGCAGAAAGAAACAAATTGTGCGTGGGCTGAAGTATACGATCGCTGTGTACATGGAGCGAGGCCTTTAGTTAAGAAGGAGTAGCACTGCTGCTCTAAGGGTGAGACATCAAGACATCGGTGGGTACAGGGGTGGGAAGAGGCTGGGTATCTGGAACCTAATGCCAAAACTCCTGCCAACTAAAACAAGACAAGGCATCAGCTATTTGACTGTTAGCACCTGGCCATCAAAATTTTGACTTGTTATAAAAATCATCGTTACTAAAGTTCTATTTAAGGTAGACCATTGAAAAGTCAATCTGTTTCCCCAGGTGCTCATTGCAGGTTTGAACCAATTGATAAGGGATAAATGAAATGAACTCTAACATGTAAGAAATCAAAGACAAGTCCCAAAAAATGCAGATATGAGAGCACATTACTCTTAGTTCTTCCTTGTCAAGTAGAAGTAAATGCTGTATATTTTTTTCACTCATCAGATTTTGTTACACCTGAAAGCTTGTAAAGCTAGAAAAACTTAAAGCTTGGAAAAAAACCTTACTTGCATAATATCTGGCTATATTGCATAACTTTCCATTATATAATCTCTGTTGCATTTTTTGTAGGTGAGGAACCTCAGTCATCTGAAGAGTCCAAGACAGTAGTGTTAAGTGCAGCATCCCGGCCTGGATCACGAGGCAGGAAAATTCCTTTAAAACTCTTGAAGGTGAAAAAGCAATCACAGCCTCAGGTGAGTTTTTTTCTGGAGTATAACACAGACATTTAACGTAATAGTAAAGTTGGTTAGTGAGGGTGAGATGCCTTCCCTGACCTCTAATCAATTATTGACAGTTTTTTTCCTCCCCAGACAAGCATCAGTCCTTTAGTCAAGATTCGGCATCAGATTCTTAGACTGTTGGGTTCTTTAGGAGGTCAGACAAACACGCTACTTCTTGGCAACCCAGACCCTTCAAAGGCAGTGACATGGGACACTAATAACCATCTGACATTTGCTGTCCCTTTTCAAGACATGAAGCCTAACATTTATTTAGGTAAAGTTTTGTTACAACACTTCTCTTTGCACAGAAATTTATTTTAATGTGTCAGTACTATATTTTCTTGTGAAAATTTTACTATGAGGTTTAGCATTATATATGAGCAAAAAACAACAAGGTTTGTGGAAGCTGCAGCATAACATTCAGGAACATTCATGGGTATAATAAATAAAACTGTCCCCCAGTGTCAGTGGCAAATGAATGAATGAATGAATGAAGAAACAAACAAACAAATAAATAAACAAACAAACTAACTAACTAATTGAAAGATCAATTCAAAGATCAAGATTCAGCTAATGCTGTTCGGAGGCAGTTGCATGATCTTAGTAATAAGATTGGCCCCACTTTGCAGCCAGTTTTTGTAAGCAAGAAATTACAACAAGATCTCAAACCTAAAGAAGCCAAGCCGTCGATTGTCAATCAGCGATGCATTGTTTATGTGATCTGTGCAATGCAGATTATGTTGGCTACACAACCCGACACCTTTTTCAACGTGTTGCTCAACACAAAAATTCAGCAATCGGCAAGCATTTTCATGAAGCGCATGGTAGGAGCGATCTTTTGAATGAGAGCCATTTCAAGATTCTGAGAAAGTGCCAAGGCAGATTTGATTGTTTAGAGTTTGAAATGCTTTACATCAAGAAATTCAAACCTAATTTGAACGTCCAAACAAACTCTATATGTGCAAAACTGTTTGTTTAACTTGTAAATTATTTTCATCACTTACTGTTTGTGTTAGTATTTATAGGACCTAGTTTTTAAACATTTTTGACTTGATAATGACGTTACAGAAACGTCAAAACGTCACCAATTTTAATTCAGCTTTTTAGCTTTTTAAATCTTAGAATGGTTCTAAGAAATATTCTGTCGCAATTTTTTTATTGTCAAGTAAACTAATTCACCATTTAATTATAATAAAGGAAGTTGGCCAGAATTTAAACTGAATAGAAATGAAACTATGCAAAACAGAGTTGAAATATCCAAAGTGTATGGTAACTTTCTCGATTTTCTAATGGAAACAAAAAGCTTTCAGTGCTTATATATTTGTATTAGAAGTGCGCCTAACAACCTGGCCACTAGGTAAACCCCTTTGTGGATGACATGCATAGCCAAATGCAATATCAAACCTTTGGAAAAGTCTGATGCATGCTTGGTTGGGTCAAAGCTAGCTGTAGTATAGTTCTGTTTCTCTGATAAAATCATGTTCTGATGCAATTTACATGCCACACGCTGTTTGAATTGTCTCGAAAAATTTAATTCTTGATAACTGGACCAAAAGTTTAATTGCAAACTAATGTGTAACAAGCAAATAAAGATTGAAACTGCTGATCAGTTTTTCGAGTCAAATAAAGCTTTATTATTATTATTCTTAAAACATAAAGCTGGCGAATATTAACGTTAACAGCTGACGTTTCAGTGTCATTGTGACACCATTCTCAAGGCAAAGTGAATAAATAATGCGAAGATTTGATTTCTATACATGTCAGTCTACAAATTAGCATAATAACAGAGGGTCACAAGTTCTTCAAGTGAATACCTTTTCGCGAATCGAGTCCGTTTGCACGTTTAGGGATGGTTTAAGTTTTCTTAAAAAGCATCTCCTTAATTAGGCAATCAAATTTGTTAGAACATTTAGTAAGCGTGTGAAATTGTTCTGAAAGACAAGGAGGTACATTCGAGTTACAGTACAGCCCAAAAATAATGCACATGCAAGAAGTGACACAAGAAGTTCTTGTGCTGCAAGAACACGCAAGCCACCGCAAGAAGTAAAAATGCCGTGTTTTTGTGGTTTACCCACAAGAACTTTCGAAATGCAAGAAGTTGAAAGTCTAACTGCGAGAAGCCGCAAGAAGTTGAAAATCTAACCGCAAGATGATGCAAGAACTTATGAATCTTACCGCAAGCTGCAAGAAGGCGCAAGAAGTTGCTGCAGGTCAAACTGTCAAGATCTGTTGGTAATGCTGTGTTGGTGGTCGAAATGCTCAAAGCTTGCTTGCAATTTATCGAACGTGCTCACTTATTTCGCATACTCGCGTACGAACCTGACCCAGGTTGTTCGAAGGCTGGATAAGGCTATCCACCAGATTAATTGCTATCCAGTGGATAAATTTTGAGAAAACAAACTGTACTATGCACTAGATAGTGATTTGTTCAGGTGATAGTGCTATTCACTTTTCAAACAACCCAGGCCTGAGCTGCATGTAACCACGAGCGTGTTCATGTCACTTACGAAAAAAAGCCATTCGATTAAGTTAACTTCATAATTACGAGACAATCCCGAAACATCTCCAAATAATGAAGCTGCTGAGGAAACAATCCATGAAGAAAAGTGTAATTAACATGGCTTCCACCGGTTTTTTCTTTCTTCTTGCATAATCTGTAAGCGAAGACAACTTTCGTTCAAATGTCACACTGAACCACTAAGACTGCGTGTGTGAACAAATGGGACACTAGAATGTTGTAAATTTCTTTTAGAACTTGTTGCAGAGTCATTATTGCAGTAAAGATTTCAGTCTGGGTTGCCATAATCTTCCCAGTGTCCATAACACCAACAGTTTTGTCTCCAGAAAAGTAAAGGGCTGCTCATCTGTAATGTCTAGTGCTTGCTCATGAAGCCATGGTCAAATGGATGATTCACACAATAATAACACTGTTGAACTTTTGAGTACTCAAGTGTTGGATTTATGGCAAGACGTATTTAAGTTCTCTTTATAAGGATAAATTTAATTAGAAACAATGGACGCTGACTGATGTCCCAGGTCACTCCCTCTTTACAGGTCTCCACACAATGATGTGTGAATAAATCTTAATAGTCTGATATGTGACTTTTTCTAAAACAAAACAAAACAAAATGATCAAAACACAAAAACAAGAAAACAGTGGCCTTTGCACTTGAATTACTCTCTTAAAACTGTCATAACAGTAAGCCAAACGGGGACAATTTTTCTAAAGAGTATCTCATGTTCCACGCATTTTACATCCTTTTGCAGGTCTTTGTAGAGTGCGCACACTATTTTCTGTGTCCTGTCAGTCCAGTGTGCCGCCCTAAATTGACCAAAGTGTTACCTTTAAAAAAAACCTGGCCTTGCTTTTGTCTTTATTAGCTCAAAACTATAATTGCTGGATTTTACTAGTCCTTTTGAATGAAATAGTTTTCAAAACAGCTTTTTCAGTTGTCACGCAGCACACGCTCTTAGTTATTTTTTTTCAGTGGCGCATGCCACACTAAATAAACCAAGGTGTTATTTTTTTTCATTAAAAAAACGGTCTTTGTTGATATCTTTCCTAACTCAAAACTTAGTTTTTGAACAAATTCTACTAGTAGTCATTTTGCAAAACAAATACTTTTAAAAACAACTTTTTCAACTTTTGCGCAGCGTGTGCTTGTTTATGTTTGGTTTCAATCANAAAAGTTTTACAACTCAAGTAGTTCGCAGACGTGCTGCTCACTGGTTTTACTTTAAAAAAAAAAAAAAAACTTTGAAAGGTGTTGAGGATGGCCCATTGACAAAGAGAAAGATGTTATCCGCTATCAACAGTATCCTTGACCTGTTTGGAATTGCTGCACCTGTTGTCATTGTGGGAAAGATACTGTACAGTAAAATTTGACTAAGGAAACTAAAGTGGGATGAAGAAGTACCAGATGACATACGTAAACCCTAAGTGGCTGAATGATAGGAAGAAGTGTCCTAATGTAACCATTCCCCACAGTGTCATGGGTGCAGGCCTGACCAAAGTGATCCTGCATGGATTTGCAGATGCCAGCAAGTTGGCTGTTCCAGTAGCTGTATACACCCTTACGCCACTGCACCACTTTGCCAGAATCTGCTTGTGGCAAAGTCAAGGATAGCACCAAGAGATCAGTCAATTCCCCGCTTGGAACTTGTTGCAGCACATACCCTGAGCAGATTGATACATCATGTGAAGGAAGTCTTGAAAGATCAGCACATCGATGGATATCACTGTTGGGTCGACAGTGTGACAGTGCTTTATTGGATTAAGGGTCATGGAACCTGGTCTCAGTTTGTGCGTAATAGAACCAAGGCTATCCAGGACAAGGAGTATTTACAGTGGCGTCATGCTCCAACTGGTGACAACCCTAGCAATCAAGGAAGCCGTGGCTAAGTGCTCAAGACACATGGCCAAATCAACCTGAAGTGTCCAAGAGCCCAGAGAATGACAAGTAAAGGGTGAAACCCAAGTATGAGAAACAGCTCCTAGTGAAAGAAACAGAAGAAGCTAATGAGACCAGCTTCTAGGAGTAACTGCCTTCGTCAAGCGATTCATATCTTTGAAGAAGCAGAAAGGGCCACTAATGACTGAAGAACTCCAGGCAGCAGAGAAGTTCTGGATCATTCAGTTGCAAGTCGCACAAGCATCAAAGTCAGACGTAGGGTTGAGCAAGGGCGAGAAAGGAGTATTGAGATGTGTTGGCAGAGTTCTCCATTATCATCCTGTCTTTCTACCAAGAAATGCACGCTGGCTACCTTAATCATTCAACAAGTCCATGAGCAGATGCTGCATGGGGGAGTGTCGACAACCATGTGCCGTATGAGAGAAAAGTATTGGAAACCAAAACTGAGGTCACTCCCAAAGAAAGTGATCTGCAATTGTAACATTTGCAGGCGTTACTGGAAGAAACCAATTTCAACATTGCATAGATCAGATTCTATTCTGCCAGTTTTCAGAACTGAACTGTCAAACCCTTTTGCTGTTACAGGGGTGGATTTTGCTGGGCCTGTCTACTACAAGATTAAGAAATCTACTTTAAAGGGACACATTGCACTATTCACCTGCGCTAGTACTCATGCAGTACATCTCAAGTTATGTCGTGACCTGTCTGCTCAAGAATTCCAGAGAGCACCAAAGGTATTTGTTGCCAGGAGAGGCTGCCCTCAGACCATTGTGAGTGACAATGGAAAGACATTTGTTGCCTCTGGAAAATGGCTATTGAAGCTGAAGAAAGACCAGCATCTGGCAAATTATATGGGAGTTTTGGAGATAAAATGGAAATTTAACTTGACCCGCGTGCACCATGGTGGGGAGGCTTCTTTGAACACCTTATTGGCATCATGAAGAGAAGTCTATCGAAGGTGATCGGCCAAAGCCTGCTAACCTTCCTAGAGCTAGAGGAAGTCTTGCCAGATGCTGAGATGACCATGAACAACAGGCCACTCCTTTATCAAGGTGAAGAGTTTGAGAAACCAGTGCTTACCCCAAATACCCTACTGAGAGGGGAAGCAATCCCTATCTTAAAAGAAGACCTGGAGAAGATTGGAGAAGAGAAGTCACTAAGCGTATGAGATTTCTGGAGAAAAGCAAACAGTACCTCCAGAAGAGATTCATGAAGGAGTATATTCGCGCCCTAGAAGAAAAGCAACAGCAGTCTGAAGGGAACACTGTGAAGATACCAAACACAGGGGCAGTGGTGTTGTTAAAGGGTGAAACAAAGGATAGCGCAATGTGGAAGCTGGGGCAAGTAGTGAGCAAGATTACTGGCAAAGATGGAACGGTTCATGGGTAGGACCAAATCGACAAACCAAACAGATTGCTAATGATCAGATCAGGAACATTGTTGAGCAGGGATTTAAGGACGATTAGATTGACATTTAAGCTGTTAAGTTATATACACTTAAATGGGTGGAGGGTGTCTGGAATTGTGAAATATGCAAATTAGTCTAGCCTCATGGAGGTCATGTGACATGCAAATTAAGGCCTCATGGTAGAGATGTTGCAGAGACGTTTTTGTGTGGTTGTCTGTACATTTTTTTGGATGTGACAAAACGGAGCATCAAATCAGGAAGAGACTTGAGCTAGTGATTTTATATTTGGTGTACGAGGTGAAAACGTTCCCCATGAAATTATATTTTTTGAACTTAGTACTGCCTCACATAACCAGTTTTGAGATAGCTCTGATAGTAATAGACGAGGCAAATGCCTCTAGGGATTTGACGTGATTGTGGTTTCTTAATTTCCCAGCTTAGTCACAGGATATGGCACTTGTTCTTAAACATTTTTAACCCAAACTGGATTTTATTTTTTTCTTTTAATAGTATAAAAATTATCCTACAAAGTGTAGCAGGCGTATGTTGACATGGCATGATGCAGAACAAAAAATGGCCCATTTAAGAGCCACCATATATATATCTATGACCAACTAAAAATTCATGATCAACATATTGCCTTCTGTTTCAAGTTAGTAGTTATTTGCCGTGGGGAAATTGGTTATTCCAATTCTATTGATCATAGTCAAGTTGTACAGTAAGTGTTTCATGCAGCCAGAGTTTATCCCATTTTCAACAACATTAACCCATTGACACCCGTGCCAACTGTAACTGGCTATGACGAGCCTTTGTTACACCTCTGACATCATCACCTTTGACCAAAGTTAGCATCACTTATACTCAAGTTCTGCAGGAGGAAACGGTCTTTCCATCATTGATTGGGTCAATTGGACCACTCGCTTTCTGCAAAAAAGGGATAGTTTCACAATGTCTCTCCCATTCAGAAATCCATAAACACATCACAGGTGTTTTCATGATGCCCTTTAAAAGAAATGAATTCACCAAAAAAATCTTAGATCTATATGGTCTGGATGTGACTTATTGAGGCTGATGTCCCTTGATACAAAGGGGCTATTAATATGGGGTCCACTTAATACAGATTTCACCATATTATGTTACAGGTAAGACAGATAATTGAGCCGTTGATTTTTCAGATTTACTCTACAGCAGTTGGGAACGAAAATTAATATTTGGGAGTGCCACTGAGAAAGTTATGCTTATCTTTGCAGATCCATTGTTGCCACGAGTTGTAGAACTTGCAACAACATCTAGTGATAGACAAACAAAGGCAAGTGATGTTTATGTAATCTTGCACGTTATATACATGTACATGTAATAAGGTATTATATATAATTACAGTTTCAAGGTTTTTATTAGCTTTGTTTGAGAAAGCTAATTTTTTTTTAACTTTATAAAAAAATACTCCATTACATCAAGTTGTAAAGAAGATAGCTAGAATTATAATAATAAGTTCCGAAAAAATAAACTAAATCAATCAATACCAGTTGACAAATTTGATCATGCATTGTATGATTGATAAGATGAGGTAGCATGGTTTCGCAAAGTTCCTGCATACTGTGCCTGACATAGTTATGTGACAAATGTCTGCAAATTGATAGCTGTATTTGCATAGTAGTGGTTTTCTGTTTGCAAAATGGCTATGGCAGTATTGGATCTTTGTCATGACATTTACAGGTTGCAGCCTGTGAATCTCTTCACTCTCTTGTCCTCTACATGCTTGGTAAAAGTGTCACACAGCCTCAAGGGACCAAGAAGGTCAGGACTGTTTTAAAGGATTCACAAAAGCCATTGTGTGAAGTTTGGAAGTAACGTAATTTGATAACTGTGTCAAAATTCTGATACTCTGAATTTTGATAATATTACAGAAGTGAAATAATTGCCAATTTCATGACAATCTGTTGATTATGTACTTAAAATCGTTGCCAATAGATGAGTTTGGGAACTGGTGCCTCAAAGGTCAGCAGGGAGGTATCCATTGCAACCCTGCAAGCAGGAACCACCCCTGCATGCAACCACCACCTGGCGCCATCACACTAAACAGACTCCAGTGGAGAAATACTTACATGTACCTTACCCTTTACTTACATGTACCTAAACCCATAAACCACAAGGGCGGGAGGGCCGGGAACAAGAATCCTCAATGATTACAGAGAAATAAGCTGTTACTTATATATCTTCAGCCAGAGATCTGTAAGGATCAGGACAACACTTAAATGATCTAAATCAGCTGCAAAACAACATGAAACATACATGTATGTAGGCTGCAAGCTCCTGAGGTCACCCACAGGTCACGTGTGCAAATGGGGGTTGACTGCTGACTGCATTTGCTTTATGTGGCTTGCATATACCAACATAAAACTATTTAAGTTAAATTTTAAGGGGAGACACTGGAGATGTTGCTTTCATTGAAGACATTTATTAGTTTACACTAAGAAAATATTTGATCTGTATGCATGGAGTGTACGTAAAATTGACCTTTTAATTACCAGCAGGGCCCCTTTCAATACATGTAACAAAGTGTTTTTTATTGGTTACACAAAATTCTGCTAGGAACTTCTCCATTTATTGGATTATGCTTCTATCTGTTTAAGTTTGAGGTTGAGCAAACTAAATTAAAACAAGATAAAATGTACCTAGTGTTTATTTGCTCTATTGGTAATTAAATTGTAGAGTCCAATGGAAAAGTTATGGAAGCATGTATTTCCTACTCTCCTGCAGTTAGCATGCGACGTGGAACAGGTAAGCATAGCTTGCTATTGTGTAGATTAAGCCAGATCATGCAACAGTGGAGAGTGGCAAAGGGTTTTGTGTGACGCATGATGGCCCCAAAGTTAGCAGGGTGATGCACGATTGAGACCAAATTAGCTGCGTGATGCAGGACAGGACATCACAACATGATGCATCATTTGCTATTATACAAGTACGTGACTTGTGATTTACCAATTAGATTTCTGTGATAAGTGAAGGATTTCATTCATTTGAAGTACATAGAGTATTAATAAAGATTAATAGACCGTGGCAGACGTGACACCATTAATTTTTCTGTATTTTTCCGTCCTTTTCTTGACCTCTGATGTTGATCATCTTCGTGGATCTTCATGATACTCTAGGTCCAAAAAATTGTGACACAATGGGAATAACTCAAAGTAGTTAAATTTTGCACAAGGACCATGAAATTTATTTCTTCATCCTAATGTGTCGACTGAATGAGCTTAAATCAAGGGGGAAATGTTGTCCACATGTATTAATTTTTTTGTATGTAGTAGTGTCATTTGATGCCTGGGGCTTAAAGTTTAGAGATAAGCCAATGACATTTCAGGGGAGCAAGTAATTGAATGATAAACTGACAAAAGTCCTTATGTTCTGATTATTATCAATAATATTCATTGGTAAATAATATTCAGCTAATAGATTCTAATAACAACTAAGTTATACAGTACATGTAGCTAGAAGTACAGTAGCAATACAGCACACAAAGCTTAGCACAGAGCTCTCATGTGACAGAGTCCACTTTTAATCAAAATATTGGGTGCCGTATTTTCCAGTTTTTAGCAAACAAATTTTTGTTCAGTAAGAAAAGGCTGATCTTCTAAGCTCACAGTACACACTTAAATGGTTGTCCTTTGACATCAAAGTAACCTGAAAATTCATTGTATGATGAACTGTGAACCACTAAGCTGCCAATAATGGGCAAGCAGCCCACTGGGAGTCATCTAGGGCAAGCAGATCATGTGTTTTTAAGAGGCAGGTTTGTTTTTTTTACAGCTAGCATATTTATAATAGTGTACTTTCAAAATGGTTATTTTCATTAAAAGGAAGAACAGATCTGGAGTTAGCTTTTAATCCTGCTTTGTGGTCAATAAAAATACCCATCAACAGCGTGCTTTTTGATGCCCAGAATGCTGGAAAGTGCATTTCTGAGCTTTTAGATTCCAAATTTTTCTGGGGGGGACATGCCCCCAGACCCCCCTAGGGTTAAGGGGCCTCACGGCCCCTTTAGTGGTCACAGCCGTCTATTACACCTTCAGTGGCCGCTTATAACTAATGTCATTGACACCCCTGGTTATACATGTACATAAACATGCAATAGCCTCTATTTGGTGCAAAAATATGTTTGGTTTTAATTTTGCCCACAGACATGATCCCGTCAGAGAATCAACAGTTTTGCAAGAGTGAGGCTTAAGGTCGAGAGGTCGAGGGAAACTGTGAACTTCAAAGAACAGATAATGTTCAAGGACAAATATCACAACATGTTTTTAAAGTCAATTGCGGGCTATTGTGTTTATTACCTTTCAAATATTTTTTTACAACAAGCATGATCTTTTGACTCGGATATTCCCAGTTTTAGCTTCACAGCAATGGTGTGCAAACGAAAATATTCGATGGATTATCAGTTATGTTATTCTTGTCACTTGCCACTTTTTGTGTAGGTGTCTGAGCAGCTTTTCAAGCCATTAGTTTTCCAGCTTATTCACTGGTTTACCAACAACAGAAAGTATGAGAGCCTGGAGACCATGGCTCTGTTAGATGCAATTCTGGTAGGATTTGATAGTTTTCTTATCCAGTTTATTTTAGTCACAACTTGATATTCTTGCCTAGAAAAGTTAATGTATACTGAGGTTTATACATGTGCCAGGTGGCCATGAGCTGCTATGGTAGTATCCTTGTTTTATAACAGAGGCAATTTTACACTTGATCAGGAAGCTCTTGAAGTTCCCAAGCATTGGAAATATACAAGGAAAATATATGAATTACAACACTATACAGTTATATGTACATGATTATATATCAAGAAAATAAAGATTAAATTTTAATTTGATAGGATGGTATAATCCACCATGATAACACTGCATTACGAGACTTCAGTGCCCAGTGTGTGCGGGAATTCCTCCAGTGGTCAATAAAACAGACAATTGAAAAGGTTTGTCAGGTTATAAGGTTTTCAACTGTGTGCAGGTGACATTCAAAGTCCAAAACTGAAAATGCTATGTAAAGTTGTCCCAGTGCATTGTGGCTGCTCCAACGAAGGCCACCCAAAAGCAACCAACTCTTTGCAAACTGAGTGATAGCATCTGAGTTTTAAAGTGTTGCTAAGATCAAATGTTTACCACTTGCAGTTTTAGGTGTATAACAGAGAATTTCACAAAGGATTAAAGGACATTTTTTAGTAGGTGTCTTTGTGGTAAGACTTAGTTTTTAGAAAATGTCTTTGAATTGGAGGTTGCACAAGTTCAGCTCATCTGTAAAATGTGCACACACCCAGACTGTATGAGTGAATTAGTTCTAATCAAAGCTGGTAATGTAATCAGTAGGTGGTAACACTCTGCCAGCAAAGTACTGCATTATACCAGGTGGTAATGAGTGTGTGTTAATTAAACAGCAACTGTGTCATTATTTGATTACAAGATAGCTGTTTTATTTGTTATCATTAGCAACTTGAAAAGAGCCCAATAAATATCAAGTCTTTGTTAAAGCGACTCTACAGTCTGGCTCTCCATCCTAGTGCGGCAAAACGACTTGGTGCTGCACTGGCTTTTAACAACATCTACACGATATTCAGGCAAGTTTATCTCTTGGTGAAGAAAATGTACATGTGTGCACTATGTAAAACATATTATATTATTATAATTATGATAATAATAATAATTATTATTGTTATTATTATTATTATTATTATATCATTATTACATCATGCCTATGTTAGTTATTTGTTGATACCACAAAGGTATATATTTTTTTCATAAAACCCCATGCTTTCCTTGTGGTACTATTTTTTTTAGAAAAAAAGATTAGTCTGCATGAGTGTCAACTACATACTAGTTGTAAGATGCATGTACATTACACACAGGATCATGCATGCAGGAGGCATGCACTCTGGCATCGTGTCTCCAGGGGATATCATGTCCGCATGAGCCATGCGCATGTTTTGTGTCCTATAAACAAAATGCTTTTCTTCGCTTAGGGCAAAGTGTAGTGTTCATTTTTGTATAGAACTAACGTAACCTATTATTGTATGTATCAAACAAAGTAACGTTTTCTGATGATTTCAAACTTCTCCTTTCGTCAGAGTTCAAATAGTAAAAAACTTTTAGTTTCTCTTCAGTGGCTTGTTTATGTTTTTCCTTCACGCCTTTTAAGAAAGAGACTAAAGCATATATGTAAGTCTATTTATGTTTCATCTGAGAACTGGGAAACTATACAGTGAATAATTTAGCCAGATATCCACAGTTAAGGCATCTTCATCAATATCTTTTAAGAAATTATGCCGTTGTGTTGCTTGTGTGAAGGAGGCTTAATTTGTTGTCGTTGTTTTTCTTTGCCTTGAATGAAACTACATGTAGGCACATACCCCTTGTAAGACTATTTTTAGTAGTCGCAGAGCCTCAAATTTGTTGTGCTTTCATGTTTTAGTCCTTTGTTTTCTGTATTTCAGTTATTCTGTGCATATTTGTACATGTATTTGTTATTGTTTTTGGTTACCTAACCTTTCATACTTTCATGTACATTTTTTCATCCGTTGTTTCTATTGTTCTGCCATTAATTTTTTAGTTGCATTGTCTCTATGCTTTAGTTGTCGTAGTCACAAAAATAGCGAACCACTTGTAAAAGTGTGAATTACTTAGCCGTGTGGATTTCGACCACATTTCATTTGAAGATTTATGTAACTTTGTCATGGATGAGTTTGGAAGTAGCAGTAGAAGGAGAGTTCATTTTACAGAAGCACTCGAAAGTCTTCGATTTAAGAATTCAAGATCAGGAGGTTTGTCGTGAGTCACAACGTTGTGTTGAGCAACTGAGACCCTCCTAGAAGATGCGAGAAATGTGGAAGAAGTCTCAAAGAAATTGTTAGAACTTATTGAAGCATTTGGTTGTTTCGAGAAAGCCCATTACAAGTACATCGCAATGCTAACTGGAGAAATCGTGAAGGACCTTATTTCCAGGAATATTGTCAGAGAAAGGAGCATTTCGATTCAAATATCAAGCGATGGATCAACTATGTAAAATCTCATTCAAGAACTCATGAGGGAACAGAGATCCGACCGGAAGATTCCACAAGCATTACTGGTTCTCTTCAAAGTTGCAACTCAATGCGTGTGTCTATTAAGAAGTTAAAGGCCAAGGAAGCTTTGGCGTGCCTTAAAGTGGAGCAGTTGAAGGAAAAACAAGAACGTTTTAGAAAACAAGAGGAAATGAATATGGAACGTCAATTTTTGGAAGCCAAATACTAACTCAAGCAAGTGCCTGTTCAAGCAAAGATCCTCAAAGATTATTCTCCCTTTGGAGGAGCAATACCGAACATTTTCAAGCAACCTGGTCTGTGTGCTGGAGGAGTTAGTTCAAAATGCAAAGTTGACCCAAAGAAGTTAAAGATGTCAAAGCTCATATTGAAAGGAGCAAAGTTAATGTAGTGATAATAGTGACCAGATAGTGAACTCTCTCCTACAGATTCTGTAGACAGCGATTTTGCCATCGTTGAAGACGTGCTAGATAACCTGGTTTTGACGATAAGACAAGGATTTGCTTTGCCCAAACCAGACTAATCCATATTTGATGGCAACCCTATGGAGTATTGGAGTTTTATCTGGTCACTTGTTTGAGAATACTACTGAACAAAACACAATGAATGAAAGTGAAAATCTCATGTATCTACTGCAGTAAACAATGGGTGATGCAAAGAAGATTGAGTACTGCATGGTAATGGTCCTTGAAAGGCATACATGGCTGCAAGGAAATTGCTCAAGGGGCGCTTTGGTCATCGGTGTACAATTGCTGCCGAGTTTGCCAGCAAGATCACTGAGGGTCCTCAAATAAATCTGTCCAATTGTTCAGGATTACTTGAATTTGCCGACCAGCTAAAAAACTGTTAACACACCCTCGAGTCTATTGGTTATCTAGATGAGATCAACAGCACTGATAACCACCGAAGAGTTGTACAAAGATTACCATTAATTTTCATCTTCGCACTAAGTTTGTTGAAGTGGCAGACGGTATCCAGCAATCTGGTAAGAGACCAAACATCAAGGGCATTTCCATGTTTGTAGCAGCAAAGGCAGTAAATTATAATCCAGTATTTGGAAGCGTTATGGATGTTGCACCTGACAGTAAATGGAGTGTTACTAAACCAAAGCCGAGTTCAAAATCGAGTGACCCATCATTCACCCGTATCACCATGGTTAACCCCCAAGGAACCGCATCAGGCAAACAAGGCAACCAGTCAAGGTGTGGTTCAGGGAGTGAGTGACATTTAAATGCGAAGATCTGTGTTTGCCCAGCCTGTAACAGGAATCATGTTTTGATGAAATGGCACAACTTTGAAAGAAAGACCTTTGGTGGACGTGTTCAGATAATGAGGAAGGCTCAGCTTTGCCACTACTGCTTCAGTATAAATTAATTTATTATGGTCATTAATCACTTGGGGCTGCCTAACCATGAGTACATGTCAAGTTGATGTTTGAAAGCGAAGGCATCACACCCTGCTCCATCCTCCCTATCATCAAGGATCGAACAATATATTAATCAGGCCAGTGAAGAGAGCATCACTCAGACTACTCAAATACCACAAGCTTTACAAGATACTCAAGCTACTCAAGCCACCAATCTCCCCATATCCTAGGTGGACAATCGCACACTACTCTTAAGCTGGAAGTGGTAAAGTGTGCTTCAGGATAGTGCCAGTGAAGGTTCATAGTCTGAAATAGAGCAGGGAATTGTTGACCTATGCCCTTCTCTTCAATAATGGATCGAATGTCTCCCTGTGTGCTAAAGGCTTGGCAGTGCATCTGGGTATTCAAGGAGAACAGAGAACGGTCTACTTAACAATGTAAGAGAAGCAAGATAGTCCTAAGTTTGGTTAAGATATTAGCTTAACACTTGAAGCCATCGACAGGTTGGACAAGTTGGAAATCTACAGACTGTGGACTGTTGACAAAGTAAATGTCTTGAGCCACAGCATTCCAACTGACCAAGGCACTAGAAGATGGCCTCTTTTGTAAGACATCAATTAACCAAGCATCAATGGGACCAAGGCCGAGCTGATCATAGGATGCAATGTCCCAGAGGCCTTTTGGGTACTGGAAGAAAGGTGTAGCAACAAAGGTGGCCCATATGCTATTCGTTCACCACTGGAACGGATGCCAATAGGCAGAAGGAAGAAGGTGTTCTAATGCAGCAACTTGAAAGATTCTGGAAGAATGACAATGCTGGTCTGATTCCTGATTGCAAGGTTTCCATATCCGTTGAAGACAAAAAGGCTCTAGCAGTGATGAAGAGTTCAGCCAAGTTGGTTGGTGGCCATTATCAACTGGCTCTTCCCTGGAGGGAGCCCGTGCCTAACCTTCCTGACAATTGGATCATGGCAGAATGAAGACTACAACTGTTGAAGAAGAGATTCCTGCAAGATGCCGAGCTGTTTGAAAAATACAAAGCAACCATTGGACATTACATGATTAAGGGGCATGCATATAGAGTTCCATAAGACAAGCTTGTCATGAAAGATAAACCACCATGGTACCTCCCCCATCAAGGGGTATCAAATCGTCCTGTTCAATTTTAAAGTACTCGCAAAATTTGGACTTTGCTGAAATTGCTTGCAAAATTAGATGAGTGCTCACTTGCTCGTGCTTGCAAAATTTCTGCCACTGCTTGCATGCTCAGATTCTCATTAAAATGTGCTCAATTCCCGTATGGCAAAACTGGGAAACATTAGAGGAACATGCATGCTTCCTCGTTTTGGTGACGTTTTATTGAAACAGACGGGCATAATGATTCTTTGCAAAAGGCACCCCCAAAGGTAGGAAGTCTAGAGACATTAAAACGTGTAGAGTATTACTATTACTATTTAACCTTCAGAGCTTGTCAGAGCTCAATCTGTTAGATCCTAGAATCCTCCAAATAAAGCGTCGGTTGCATTGAATCTTTTTTCAGTAACTCAGCGGGAAAACAATTTGCCGATCATCGAAACCAAAATTCAAAATGATTGGTAGACTAAATGCCACGTTGTCTACATTTCTCAGGAATAATATAACCAGAAAAACCTTCCATGTTGCAAACTGCAATGTCTGGTAAAATTTAGCTTCTTCTTGAGAAGTGTTCACAACGTCAGATTAGAAAGCTTTAGATCTCCTTGAGTGTCCACCTAGTCTGTACTGCACTGAAGCTCACGTGAAGCTAACTGACGTAATTTGGCATCCGACAAGGCACAGTTGGCTGCTAGAATTGTTTGAATGGTGTCAGCCAGATTACTTGGTGCAAAATGTTTCCTTTTAATAAAAGAGAAATTCCACCTAGCGGAAAATAGACATTTAAGAGAAATCTAAATGCATCATAATCGTCTGGTGACACTCTGACCTGGTGGAACCTGGCCTCCACGTGTGCTGCAAGGGCTACTTGATCTTGACCAGATCTTGTTAACTAACCCACAATAGTGTTAGTTAGGTCTGGTCCACTAAGGGGTTGGTCGTTTAAAGACATCCCTCTAAACTTTGCAGCACAATTGATGTTTGCTGGGGTTAAACACAGGGTGATGGGGGGTATCAAATGGTCTTTGCGAGCATGCGAGCAGTGCGTTTATTTCTGCGAGCATGAGCAGTGATCAAATTTGTCTTGCGAGCGACGAGCACTTTGCAAAGTACAGATGGTGAGCTACGGGCACTTCGTAAATTTTACAGTATCATAGTCTATTGATGAAATTTTCAATTTTTATTGTATGAATATGTTATAGCTTTTAATATCATCGTTACGGTAGTTACTGTAGTTATGTTAATTGTAGTAGTGGGATATCTGTAAACTAGCTGTATGGCTAAGAATATATTGCCACTTTAAATAAAGTACCCTATCCTTTCCTATTCATAAGTAAACCTCTAAATTGCTATCGTAGTGAATTCATCATGCTCTAACAATATTGAACATTTAACATTTAGGGAGGAGTCTTCATTGGTAGACATTTTTGTGTTGGAAATCCTTGTAAATTACTTGGAAAGTTTGTCTCTTGCACACAGTGATGACCAGGCAAAAGGTACAGCTTACTTGAGAGAAAATTAATTTTTAGATTTAAGAATGTTAGACTTGGTTATGAATAAACCAACATGTACAACGGTCAAATTTTTACCTCTTGAATTTTTACATTATTCACATTGAATTCCACAAAAAAATAAAAATGCTGTTTACCGTATCAAAATATCTGCATTGGTTCTGGAGATATTTAAAGTGGTACTGTGACAAAAATCGCATCTTTCCTATCGCAGCCATTTTAAAACATAAACAAGTAGCCTGTGTGAGAAGAAAAATGCTGTTTACTGTATTCAAATATCTCTTTTCGTTCCAGAGATATTCAAGTTTTTAAAATATGCAAGTTAGCCCAGTGATGACGTCATACACTTGACCAAATTTTGATGAAATATGATGAAAAAAGATATCTCATCCAATTTGGATCAGAAATGGTTGATTCTTTGCAGAAAGATTCTACTAAATGTGCTCCACAATATGAGCTTAGCAGTTTGGTTACCATGGCAACACACTGGGTTCCAGACCTCCCCAATATTAGAGGCATTTCTGGCCACCTTTGGCGTTCCATTTTGTTATTTGCAAATGGTGCCTCATATGCTTGGTCCAGCAAGCATAGAAATATGTTAGCTCAAGTTTGTGGCCTTGTTTAATGTTTTACAAGCTGAAAATCACTAACATATTGAAATCAAGCGGGTGAGGACTTGGGTGAGGACTTCCTGTAGAACTATTAGCCTACCAAGTTTCAATGGTCTGCACTGCAAATTAACCAAGATAGCTTTATTTATATACTTGATATAAAATTGGGTTGAGTGTATGATGTCATCAGTCATCTCATTTGCATATTTTACACATTTTTCAAACTTAAATATCTCCAGAACTAATGCAGATATTTTCAAACGGCAAACAGCATTTTTATTCTTTCATGGAATTCTATGTGATACACCTAAAAAATCAGTGGGGAAATATTTGATCATAGTACTACTTTAAGTTTGAAAAATATGTAAAATATGCAAATGAGAGGAGTGATGACGTCACACACTCAACCAAATATTACATCAAATATATAAATAGAGCTATCTTGGTCAATTTGCAGCAGAAACCATTGTAACTTGGTAGGCTATTAGTTCTACATGCAACACACCTACAGCTATAAAAATTTCCGTTCTCATTACAACTTACTCTTTTCCATTCGCCTCCAACCTGATTTCAATTTAAATAAGGCCATGAACTAGACCTAACAAATTTATATGCTTGCTGGATCGTGCAGATAAGGCACCATTTGCAAATGTCAATATAGAACCCCTAAGGTGGCCAGAAGAGTCTTTAATATCAGGCAGGTTTGGAACCCAGTATGTTGCTGTGGTGACAAAAATGTTAAGCTCATATTGTGGAGCACCTCTAGTAGAATCGCACTGCCAAGAATCAAACATCTCTGATTCAAATTGGCTGAGATATCTTTGTTCATCACATTTGATCAAAAATGGGTTGAGTTTATAACTGAACAATGTTGAACATATTATAGTGTTTGACTAAACAAGAGAATGTTTGACTATGACTTACTACTATTGTTACAATTGTTGTAAAAGTTACAGTTGTTGTTGTTCATTAATGTGCTGTGTCATTCATGCCAAAAAAAGAAAAAGGTGCCACATTGCAATATATGTAAGTGCTCCTCCTTGAGCTACCAAAAGTAGATTAGCACCTGGGGTGCTCATCTGAATCATGTGCAACTTATGTATGGCGTGAGCACAAAGTCACTTTTTCGCTTTATTACTTACTCACTTTCAGTTTGGCAATCACACTATAATTAATGCCCTAATTTCATAGAAGATGCCAATTGCACAGAAACAGAAATTAGTTTAGAATTAAACATCAAATTAATCATTCAGCCAGATGGATTTGTTCTCTACATATAAACGATATCCACTGCTGTCTTACTGGTCATTAACAATGGAATTGAGTGGTGCATGAGAGTCGCATCATATAAACAAAATTCAAATGAGAAATAATTATCATTCCTTCAACCAGGTTTTCATTCCTGACCGCAAACTGTTTGGTCATGTGCTCAGTTTTCATTGCGCTCCAAGCCATAAAAACATCCCGTTAAAAGGAGTTTTAGAACTCTTGAATTGCAGGTTTAAAAATTTTACAGGTACTCGAGATCAGTGTGTCCAAGTTATTTCTCACCTGGAGAGAATCATCCGAGCAAGAGCACAGCTGCTAAACAAGGAAAACAAGCGAAGAAGAATTCCTAGGTACGTATAATTGAGAACATTTTTGTAAAATAACTGATGTATCCTCACAGAAGAAAACTTAAACGCGGAGTGATCCTATAAAGGCTGGTTTTCACTAGAACATAAGCACAAGCATAAGCATAAGCACAAGTGAAAACAGCCACGACATAAACATAAGCATAAGCTGAAACATAAGANCTTTTGCTTATGCTTATGCTTATGCTTATTTCTCAACAGCGTTAATCCTCAAAGGAGCAAAGACACATTTGAGTGAACAGCTCGAATTCATACGATAGGTTTTTTGAAATTAAAAAAGTCAATTTTCTTTGTAAACCCTTTTCCTGAGGCTATCATACATTTAGTTCAAAAGGCCTTGCTTACTGTAAAATAAACCAGAAAATTACACCCGTCGCTCTCCAGAATTTTGTGACAGTGCGCTAAAATTAGACCTGAGTGAATAAGCCAATCAAATGGGAGCATTGGTCTTCCGTTGGGATTTGTGATTGGCAGGCTGAACACCTCAGCCTCGTTATATAGGATCACTCCGTGTTTAATCCGTGCAGAGTATAAAAAGCAAAAAAGACCAGAATTATGTTTTGCCTAGTAGGAATTTTCTGAAATAAACAATGCCTCCATGTCTCTGTCATTATATACAGTGTACTTGTATAACCGGTTAAAGGTCATGAATGCAGTGGTTGATCGAAATATGCTCATCTCTAGGTCAGGTTCTCTCTATGATGTCTCAAAAGAAACTTGACTTGGCTGTTCTCTGTATCAGAATAATTATAACAACATACATAATAGCAATGAATGTTGATTCCTTGAAATGTTTTTCTTTTTCATTATACTTGTAATTCGGAAAAGAAATTAAGTTTTCCTGTTACTCGTACAAGAGTTCTGAACAATTATGTCTTAGATTTTTTATTACATAACTTTATCCTTGTAAATTATAGCAGAGCTCCAGCAGCCAAAAGGGCGACCAAGCGGAGCCCCATACACATATAGGAAAGAAAAGGAAACCCATGAATTGATTTTGTCATGGTTATCATGGCTAGCGGTATTGCTCGTGGGCTAGCAGTATTGCTTGTAGGTTGAGAGAGACATGCTCCCTCGGTCTGTAACATCCCTCTTTGATATTGGACATCCATGTTATGGTCAATTGATATCTGTCAAAACAAGGTATCTGCTGACCAGTCACATGTTATTTTGAAGTTGACCACTGAGCAATTGCTGGTTTTGATTGGATCACAGGCTCATGTCAGGTCAACTTGTTTTAAACAGGGCCGGGTTTTCTGGAAGCTGGTTAATGCTAACCCAGGATTATAAAAGCTAACCGAAGTATAGTTTTTTCTTGTATACAAATGTTTTTCCCTGCTTTTGTTTTGCAACCTCGTTCATTTGGGAAAAGTCTTGGGAACGAGGTTGGTTGTTTTGTGTATTTTGAGGACCTTGAGATTATTCAAACTCCAAACAGAAGGTGAAGAGCATAAACGGAAAACCTCACCGTAAAGTTACAAAACTCAAATCAAAATTTTCGCTTATCCTGGGTTAGCTTAATCGGGCTTTGAACACCCTGGTCCAGGAGCTCCACTTTTAGGCTTGGCTAAATCTATATGCAGTAGAACCCCGGTAACTCAAACTCTGAAGGGAAACGAAAAACAGTTCAAGTTAGCGGGGGTTCGAATTATCGGGTTCGATTGAATATCCAACTTGCCATGTTAATAATTGATAGTTTACTGATTTTTCGGCACTTCAGTATACAGTGACAGCTAAAGGCACCGCATCCAGTATGACTCAAAAGATCTGGAAATGACTCTCAAATATGTGAACGGTCGGTTGCTCTAATAAAATCGTATTGCCGTGGTGTTAGTTTTGAGTGTTTTTACCGATTACATGACGAGAAAAGCAAATACAATGACATCCCTGTTGAGTTACATCAACCAGAATTCAAGTTATCGGGGTAAATTTTTATCAAGGGAAATGAAATTTAGTTTGAGTTAGCGGGGAAGTCGAGTTATTCGAGTTTGAGTTAATCGAGTTAAAATGACTGAAAAGGGGGGTCAAATCCAAGGGAAATGGGACTTGGTTGGAGTTAGCGGGGGAGTTCAAGTTATCCGAGTTCGACTTACCGGGGTTCTACTGTATTACAATAAATTAATTACATATATATTTCTCTAGGAATGCAAGGGTTGCATGAGCATTTAATGATCGATCAATGTGTAAATTTCATTACATTTCATTTCCATCATTTTCCTCTAGTGTATCATGGAATTGTCTTGTTGACCGTATGATTTTGACCAGCACTGTTTTTAATGTACAGGGGATTTGGAACTTTAAGTGCCATAACCTTGATTCATATCATCCCATGGCTTGTCAAGCAATGTGGTAAACCAAGCACTGAGTGCCGACATCAATGTATGAGACTTCTCTGTCAGCTGGCACCACTTCTGCCAGGTAAAGTCTTAGATATAATATGAAACATATTGCATAATCTCTGGGAGCAGTGTCAGAGGTAGTAAGACCAGGTTAAAGCACTTTAAGGGAGAGAGAAGAATGTACAGATGCATAACTTCGTAAATGATGTGAATGGCACTCATATCATGGCAGGGTTTTGATTCGCAATGAGAATGTCCAATACTCATTCTGAACCAAATTCGTACACTAAATGAAGAGCAGAGACCGTATTCGTAATATTTTAAATAGGTCAGTTATTTTATAGCTCCTGTCGAGTAAACATTTAAATTTGTGTCTAGCCAATGAGTTCATTATTGCACACAAAAAAGAGAAAAATATTGTGAAAATTGCAGTTGGTTCGATGATTGTTGCTCCTAACACGCTGTCAATTGCGTGAATGATATAACAATCTTTATTCATAGATAGTGCACACTGAATCAACTTTATGTTTGGGATGTGAATATGCCATACTCGCCTCTTGTCAAAGGCTTTAGTAAAATTTTCACTAATTTAGTGATTTGATAGTCGAAGTCGAAGTCTAGCTGATGAGTCAGCCAATTGGGAGCACAGGTCTGGTCACTGACAAAATGAAAAAGTATAAAACAAGCTATAAAATACGAACTGTGCCTGGTCTCAGGTCATGTGGTTAATAATATCAGACCCCATTGTTTTCAGAAGCTTCTCATTCAAGGTACTATTGGTTGCATTGATTGGTATTGGTGTTGAGAAAATTGGAAACACAGAAATGTCAACAATGATTTTGTGTTGAACTCCAATAAAATGATCCTATATGCATATACATACTGTACCAACCAATTGTTTAGAAATAACATCCCTGAGGATAACTGCAAGTCCTCCACTGGGGCTTATTAGAGAACTTCAGTGTTGCAGAGTAGAAAAAGTGACAAAATTGAATTTTTCACACTCATTTATGTATTTTGTGAAAGGGGAGATCATTAACACAGATGATAATCTCACCTTACTAGCATTAAAAGAACAGTGGGCTCACCAGGTGTACAAATCATGAAATCCCCACAATTTAATGCAGCGGCCATCAACACTTTTTGTTTAGTCTCGCGCTCTGTGTACTTGCTCAATGTGCTAGCAAAATACCTGGTATTTACAGTAAGGATGTGAGTGTGAATGTCCTTAGCTCTGCTAAATCTTGACTGAGGAGTTGTTCAATTTAATATTTTCACCTTTTAATTGGCAAATCATATTAATTTTTTCCTTTTATCTGATAGGTGTAAGCTCTGCTGCCGAATGGATGAAGAAAACGTATCAAGATCATCAATCATTTTTTGTTCACAGGTTTGAAAAAAATAATATTGTTTTATATTTAGTGCAGTACACTACTGTGCAAAATCAATGCAAGTGAAGTTCGCCAAATTTTGTGCATTGTTCTGTTATACAATGTAGTGTACTGATTGAAATGCATTTGGTGTCTTAGAAAACACAAGAGTAACTCAGATCACAAGGTGTAATAATCTACAGTGGTTTATGTTTTTTGTTTAAACTTACACAGCATACTCGAAGACAAGGACCGTGTTGTTGCAGGCACGAGCAGAAAATAGCTGGAAAGCAAATAGCTTCTAAGTCCTTACACATGGATTTAATTATGGTCGTGAATGAAAGTTATTTTTTCTGACAATGTTTTCCACAAACACTGCTTTTACGCATAAGCAGGAAATAGTTTAAGAAATAATAGTTCCAATGATGTACAGTTCAAAATAATTGTGGCGTCTTTAAAAAGCACAAGAGCCATAGAAGTCAGCAAATGAATGAAAAAAGGCGTCAAGATAAATAGGTTCTAAAGATATTTTGATGCCAGTTGCAAGCCCACTTTCATCTATTACGTAAACAAAAATCCCAAAGCGCCCACAAAATAGCTAAGATGTAATGTTGTTTATATCTGAAGCAAAAAATTGCAATTTTTTGGCCACTTTGCTGTGCAAATAGAAAATGTACATAATTAAATAAAGAGATAAACATATTTATGCAGGGTGACCATTTCATTTATAAAAACTGCTATCAACATGAGTGCTGCGTAAAGTAAATAAATAATTAATAAAATAAAATTGTGTAGTGTATACACTATAGTCCGAGGAATGCAATTTTGCTCTTTAAGTTTAGTTTTGGAAGTTGTTTTTTAAATTAATTTTTTTCAATTGTGTAGACAGAGATGTTAACTTCATGCAGCTTGTTTACTGTTATTGTTTGCTGCTCAGTTTATAATAATAATCAAAGAACGGTGACCATCCTTTAACGCGCAAGTAGATTACATCAGCGCAAAGTTACTCAGACATATAATATGTACAAAAATTGTTAATTGTGTTTTTTTCACTTATTTAAATTCTTATGTCACCTCTATATTTTCACTGTTTCCTTGAAAATGATGTTAGGAACATCAAAAGGTTGGACAACTATAGTTTTAATTTATTTATTTATTTATTTATTTATTATTTTTTTCTTTTTGTCTTGCACTGCAAGACCAGGTAATAATTTTAATATTTTGAACTTACTGTACCTGTTGAATTTTTCTTTTATTGTGCTGTTAGATTTGAAGGTGGAGGTGGGGGGCAGAATGGTATTCAGCAATATCCCACCCTGTCAGATATTGGTGGGCCATTTTCATTGAAAGAGACATTCCTTTGGTTTGACATGCTGCTGGCAGCTCTAGATTGCTATACTTGGAGCTTCAGTGAAAGCCTTTTGTTGCCAAGTCAGGTCTTTGCTGGTAAGCAATATATATACAATAAATAAGTATATGCCATAACAACTGCAGAAGATATTAGCTACTTTTAGTGTCCACATTAAATAGAGGTCACATATATGACGCCATTGTAAGGCTCTGCAAGGTCGTTGTGGCGGTGCGTTTGGCTTGTTTACATGTGGCAGATCCGTGCATGTTAATTAAGACAAAGTGAGGAAATTCAATGTGTAATCTTGTTTCAGCAGAGAAATCAATTAGAGAGTCTTCAAAGAACTGAAACAATTCCGATGATACATGGCGATTACACATATCACTTTTATTGCACTTGTATGCACAATACAATTGATTAAGTTGGACCTGAAACAGTAAATTGTATTGTATACAAAATAATCAATGGCTTGTCGGTAATAAAGGCTAATTTTTGAGTTATTTTTTTTGGAAAAAAATACCTCTTAGTTGGCGCGCTGGGGTATGTTATGGACGGGTCAATGGATGAGTGAGTGAGTGAGTGAGAGATGTATGTATGTCACACCAATCAGATTGGAGCTACTATTAACAACCAGTCAAATTGCCTCTTGTTAAGGTGAATCATTTGTGTGGAGATTTCATCCTGATTTTAGAACGGCCATCTCTGTTTTTCTACAAACAGAAACACGTATTTTTCTGACCTTTCCGAAGCTTCCGTTTGCTATGGTTGAGCCCAGGACTTTGTGGATGGGTTTCAAAACAGTTCAAAATTCAATAATAAGCCGAAGAATCATAGTCTTTGGAATACACTAACATGTCATCAAGGCTTTGCCCTGGGAAATTTCGAATGAAATGAGTCTAAGCTGCTCAGTAACTTGGTGAATTCTAGGACAGGAACGATTGTTTTTAGGGCAAATGCACCATTGGGATGTTGAGGGGGCATTTGTCCGTGGTGGTATTCGCCAGGGTCCCATCGATATCATTTGCATTACGTACAGTTCACGAAAAAAGAATTCAGTCCAAACCGTTTACGTTTGCGCAACATGTTTCAGTTTGTGAATGCAAGTTTCAATTAAGTAGCGCTATTTAGGTGGCTGTTCACGGAGTAATACAGTCTTCTCGTTGAAATGTTCCTTGGAATCGATACTGAGATACTCATTTGAAGTGGTTTCTCTGTCAAAACCAAAGAAATTACGGACGGCTAGTTATGAATGAGAACACTGCTGAGGTTTGAAATTTGTTTTTGTTGGAGAGAAATGTAACATGATATTTTTATTTGTTAGTTTCAAGTGGTAACTTGACACTTTTGTTTTTCACGCACGAGTAGTTGCAATTAAAACTGGCGAATCAGTGACTCTTGTTTACATGGTCAGAATAAACAAACAAAAAGCCAATCTAGCGGCTCGTCCAGAAACTTTGACTTGATATAAATGTTCTGACGTCTCATTTCTTAGTGTCTTCAGCGGCAGTTTTATTTCTTGCATTTATGGAAATTCATAAAAACGGGAATTCTTAATAGAGATTTTCTTTAAGGTTTGTAGTATGGAACATCTTCAAATATTCCTGAAGACTGCATGTCGGCAAGTTAAACTGCAAATTAATTAGATTAGACTTTGAGGTGACTATGGTTAGCCAAATGTTGCAAAATTCAACAACTTGCACCTTCATATTCAACAACTTATATTTATGTTCAACAACATATATTTACATTCAACATTTTATATTTATATTCAACAATACGCATTTTCTTTCAACTTCAACCAAAATTCTTTTCATTCCACAAAAATATTTGTTCAACTTCAACCAAAAATAATTTCATTCAACAACAATATTTGTTCAACTTCAACCCAAATGATTTTCATTCATCAAAAATAATTATTCAGCTTCTACCAAAATCAATTTCACTCAACAACAATACTTGTTCAACTTCAACCACGATTATTTTTATTCAACAATAATAATTATTCAGCTTCTATCATGCATAGTGATTTAATAACATACCTTC